AGGTTGCGGGTTCGAGTCTCGTACCGGCAGGGATTGTAAGTGGGGGGAGTGAATGTACATGTACGTCTGCGCCATTCATTAACACAGAGACACGCAGAATTAATATTTAAATAGTCATTTTGCGGCTTAATATTTACAAATACTAGTGGGAGTGGGAGTGCGCTCACTTGTGTGCGCGCACGTGTGTGTGTGTGAGCGCATGTGTGTGTACGCGCGCGCGGGGCAGAACTCCGCTGTGCGTGATACAGAGAGCGCCACCATAACGTAGAGACCGAAATGGCATGCAGTCGTGTTTTTTTTTTTTTTAGTTAGCAGTAACACTTTTGACTGGGTTGCCATAGGGTTGCTAAGGTGTACAGGATGATAGCAAGGGCGTTGCTAGGGTGTTTAGGGTGGTTGTTAGGTGGTTGCTTATTGACCGTACACCAAGTCTCTATGATGTTCTTGCCTATTCATCAATATATTACTCTGCACTGAAGAAGAGAAACAGGAGCCGACACGCCTCTAACTAAACTTTACATTCCACAAAAACACCGTCTGGACCCAAAGCTCAAATTCCAATCTGATTTAGATTTCTCTTTCAGCTTGAACGAACATGTTAAAGCTCAACTCTCGGCTCTGGTTTTCAATATCGGTCTCATGTTGAAAAACTACAGCATGTCTTGATGTGCAAAGTTCCCAGACGCCTATCACAAGCACTGCCAACTAAAACAAGGGGCTTCTTATATACTATACAAGGATATAAGTGAAGTTTTTACAGAAAAACACATTCATAACCACATCGATACACTCTAAATGAGTCATTTAATAAGCATTTACGATGTTGCATAATATAGATATATGCCGATAGAAAGGGAGTGCTAAGGTCGGTGGAAAAGAAAATGTATATATGTATAAAGCATAAATGTATAAATATGTATAATCATTTTTTTTAAATAAATAGTCAGATTAAAATCAATTAAATTAAAAAATAAAAATAGACTAAAATGAATAAATAATAAAAATATAAATAATGAAAATAAATTAATCAAATTAAATTCAATAAATTAGATTAAAATAAATCAATTACGAAATAGTTTAAATAAAAATTAGATTAAAAAAATTATTAGACCAAATTAAATAGGAAAAGAAAATGTATATATGTATAAAGCATAAATGTCTAAATATGTACAATCATTTTTTTTAAATAAATAAATAGTCAGATTAAAATCAATTAAATTAAAAAATAAAAACAGACTAAAATGAATAAATAAAAATATAAATAATGAAAATAAATTAATCAAATGAAATTCAATAAATTAGATTAAAATAAATCAATTACGAAATAGTTTAAATAAAAATTAGATTAAAAAAATTATTAGACCAAATTAAATAGGAAAAGAAAATGTATATATGTATAAAGCATAAATGTCTAAATATGTATAATCATTTTTTTTAAATAAATAAATAGTCAGATTAAAATCAATTAAATTAAAAAATAAAAATAGACTAAAATGAATAAATAATAAAAATATAAATAATGAAAATAAATTAATCAAATTAAATTCAATAAATTAGATTAAAATAAATCAATTACGAAATAGTTTAAATAAAAATTAGATTAAAAAAATTATTAGACCAAATTAAATAGGAAAAGAAAATGTATATATGTATAAAGCATAAATGTCTAAATATGTATAATCATTTTTTTTAAATAAATAAATAGTCAGATTAAAATCAATTAAATTAAAAAATAAAAATAGACTAAAATGAATAAATAATAAAAATATAAATAATGAAAATAAATTAATCAAATTAAATTCAATAAATTAGATTAAAATAAATCAATTACGAAATAGTTTAAATAAAAATTAGATTAAAAAAATTATTAGACCAAATTAAATAGGAAAAGAAAATGTATATATGTATAAAGCATAAATGTCTAAATATGTATAATCATTTTTTTTAAATAAATAAATAGTCAGATTAAAATCAATTAAATTAAAAAATAAAAATAGACTAAAATGAATAAATAATAAAAATATAAATAATGAAAATAAATTAATCAAATTAAATTCAATAAATTAGATTAAAATAAATCAATTACGAAATAGTTTAAATAAAAATTAGATTAAAAAAATTATTAGACCAAATTAAATAGGAAAAGAAAATGTATATATGTATAAAGCATAAATGTCTAAATATGTATAATCATTTTTTTTAAATAAATAAATAGTCAGATTAAAATCAATTAAATTGAAAAATAAAAATAGACTAAAATGAATAAATAATAAAAATATAAATAATGAAAATAAATTAATCAAATGAAATTCAATAAATTAGATTAAAATAAATCAATTACGAAATAGTTTAAATAAAAATTAGATTAAAAAAATTATTAGACCAAATTAAATAGGAAAAGAAAATGTATATATGTATAAAGCATAAATGTCTAAATATGTACAATCATTTTTTTTAAATAAATAAATAGTCAGATTAAAATCAATTAAATTAAAAAATAAAAACAGACTAAAATGAATAAATAAAAATATAAATAATGAAAATAAATTAATCAAATGAAATTCAATAAATTAGATTAAAATAAATAAATTACGAAATAGTTTAAATAAAAATTAGATTAAAAAACACACAATATGATATAAATAAAATCAATCAATAAATAAATAATGTAGTCAGTAGGGAAAAAAACTATAGAATCTATATATTTTCCAAATAATATTTAAATGAGTAAAAACTGAGTCTTTATACACGAAAATAAGGGTCCCTTGCATGAGGATGGTCATCTTTGGAGATCTTTGCCATCTAAAAAGATGAAAACCCTTGACTTACGGCACAATAACTGAAGTCATCCTAAACACTTAGTACTCTGATGTTAAATGATCAGGGTTTGAACCTACAACCTTTCAGGTGTTAGCTCATATCTTTAACCAATAGAAGACATCACTCCAACTGATGGAAAATAATACCTCACTATTTACATTTAGCTACATATGAGTGTCTAGCCAGACTAGATCTAACCTGGTAACCAAAAGGTTACTAGTTTGAATCCCCACAAAGTTTGATCAACCATTGGGCACTTAATCAAGACTATAAAATGAGCATAAATAATAACAATAACTCACAGCATTTCTTCTCATTGACTCTGGGCTCCGCCTTCTTGCTGTCATTATTATAGTCCATGACTTTTAGGCGCAGATTGACTATTTTGACGGACAGGTGTGAGGGTCAGCACAGGTCACCAGAGGTCATTAGAGGTCAGTTCACCTGCGCAGGTATCACGAGACTCAGATTAGGTCATTACTGGCCTGACTTCATTTCACATCTGCTGATTTATTAGCCTCCGAGACAGGAATTACAAACCAAAGCTGTGTTTACTCACCCCGCTGCGGAGAGGACACAAACACACGGACCATTTCCCATTCAAATGCAGTAAAAAATGTTTTTCCATTAATAGCTCCGGGACAGAGCAGACTTATTGTGACCGCTGTGCTTCAGGAAGTGTTTGAGTCTGCTGGAGATGAAGAATAAGCGCTAGAACGGCGATTAGCATCGACTGAGGGAAAGAATGGGCGGGGTTAGCGGCGCGAATCTTGGCTGTGATTGGCCAGGCACGATCAGTGAAAATAATAATTATTTTATCGTTACTTTTCAAAGTGTTTTTTTTCAGTTAGATAACATTAATGTTTCTCAGTATAATTACTGAAGGTGCAAAAAATATCCACATCGCTTCTGGTAGAAAAGTGCGTGTCACATGATAGCTATTACTTTTCACAGCGGCGAATAAACCAGATGAGGCTTTTAATAACAACTTTGCAGTAGAGAATGGTGCGCATTTTTATTTGTATGTCAGGTATCAAGGATATCAAGGATTTTTTTTTTTTTTTTGCATAAATAGTATAGTTATCTTGTATGCGGCTCTAATCGCCCCCTGCTGGATGAACATCTCGATGACTCAAAGAAAACAGTAATAAACTAGGAACTTTTACCGCTGAAAGGTCTGAACCAATCACGGTCTGAAGACGTTGGGGGCGGGGTTTGTTGCGCTCGTCTGATTGGATACACTTAACATCAATCAGAAAGGTGCGCGGCTCGTGTGTAGAACCGAATGTAGAACCGAATGTAGAACGAATCTATGCAAAACAGATCAGTTCTTCGTATATATATATATATATATATATATATATAGATATATTATATTTAAATACGAAAATAAATGAAACGTTTTCCCTAATTTGCGAATCACTTTGGACAAACATTTAGATTTGGATAAACATGAGAACATTAGAGAATAATTATATTGTAAAAAGTATTATTTATGCCTAATTCTGAGTCCTGCAGTGTTCAAGTGTTCCTAAACATGTCAGGGATGATATATTGGATATTGACATTAAAAAAAACATCTAAAACCTTAAGCTTTATGTACAATATTTGTTTTATATTAGGTTTTGACACATTAATTGTTTCCCGTGTTATTTAGTCTAATATGAATGGTGTATAAACTTAAATTGATGTTCCATCTAGACAGAAACTTTCTTACCCAAAGATGTATAAGAAACGTTGTATAAGCAAAAACTATAAATAAATTAGATGAAAATAAATACATAATAAAAAATAAAACATTTAAAATAAATAGTTTTGTTTAAAAACATTCATTTACATAATACATCTTACAACACAAATTGAAAATATTTTAAAATAAATAAATAACAGATTAAATAAATAACAAAAAATAGATTAAAATAAACAAATTACATTAAAATAAATAAATAAAATTTAGATTAGAATAAATAATTAGATTAAATTAAATAAGGATACAATAAACATTTGATTCAAATAAATAATACGTCTACGAGTACAGTACAGAACTTAATAAATCTAAATATTTTCCAAATAATATTTCCAAGTGTCTTTATACACAATGTCCCATTGACATGGTGTATGGTGTCCCATACTCAGAATTTACTTTATGCTCATGAACAAACATGTAAAATACTGTGACCTTTTGTAATATAATTCATTGGTTTAAAATACAACACTTCATTCAATCAAAATTGCATTATTGATTTATTTAACCTATTTTACACATTTATTTATTACTATTTAAAGACATTTCTATAGCTCTGGATTTTTCTATAGGAATGATAAAAATCCATTTATTAATGTATATAAATATTCGAGAAGAAGACGAAGAGCGATAACTATATCACACGTTACCAAGCCAGCAGCTCATAAATTTGCATCATTTTTTCCTATAATGCAAAACCCTCAGCCGCCCCGCGCTGGCCTTCATCTGCACTGCCTGCCAAAGGAAATGTTTCTTTTGTGCTGCATACCTAGTCATTTATTTGCTAAATAAGGCCTCCTTCTGGCCATTGTGAAAACGCTCTGCTGTTTCTCAGGATATGCGAGGCCTGCCGCTCTCAGATTCCTTTGCCTTGTATGGCTAAAGGCTCCAGAGATCAAGGATATCAAGGATTTTTTTTTTTTTTTTGCATAAATAGTATAGTTATCTTGTATGCGGCTCTAATCGCCCCCTGCTGGATGAACATCTCGATGACTCAAAGAAAACAGTAATAAACTAGGAACTTTTACCGCTGAAAGGTCTGAACCAATCACGGTCTGAAGACGTTGGGGGCGGGGTTTGTTGCGCTCGTCTGATTGGATACACTTAACATCAATCAGAAAGGTGCGCGGCTCGTGTGTAGAACCGAATGTAGAACCGAATGTAGAACGAATCTATGCAAAACAGATCAGTTCTTCGTATATATATATATATATATATATATAGATATATTATATTTAAATACGAAAATAAATGAAACGTTTTCCCTAATTTGCGAATCACTTTGGACAAACATTTAGATTTGGATAAACATGAGAACATTAGAGAATAATTATATTGTAAAAAGTATTATTTATGCCTAATTCTGAGTCCTGCAGTGTTCAAGTGTTCCTAAACATGTCAGGGATGATATATTGGATATTTTACGACATTAAAACATCTAAAACCTTAAGCTTTATGTACAATATTTGTTTTATATTAGGTTTTGACACATTAATTGTTTCCCGTGTTATTTAGTCTAATATGAATGGTGTATAAACTTAAATTGATGTTCCATCTAGACAGAAACTTTCTTACCCAAAGATGTATAAGAAACGTTGTATAAGCAAAAACTATAAATAAATTAGATGAAAATAAATACATAATAAAAAATAAAACATTTAAAATAAATAGTTTTGTTTAAAAACATTCATTTACATAATACATCTTACAACACAAACTGAAAATATTTTAAAATAAATAAATAACAGATTAAATAAATAACAAAAAATAGATTAAAATAAACAAATTACATTAAAATAAATAAAATTTAGATTAGAATAAATATTTAGATTAAATTAAATAAGGATACAATAAACATTTGATTCAAATAAATAATACGTCTACGAGTACAGTACAGAACTTAATAAATCTAAATATTTTCCAAATAATATTTCCAAGTGTCTTTATACACAATGTCCCATTGACATGGTGTATGGTGTCCCATACTCAGAATTTACTTTATGCTCATGAACAAACATGTAAAATACTGTGACCTTTTGTAATATAATTCATTGGTTTAAAATACAACACTTCATTCAATCAAAATTGCATTATTGATTTATTTAACCTATTTTACACATTTATTTATTACTATTTAAAGACATTTCTATAGCTCTGGATTTTTCTATAGGAATGATAAAAATCCATTTATTAATGTATATAAATATTCGAGAAGAAGACGAAGAGCGATAACTATATCACACGTTACCAAGCCAGCAGCTCATAAATTTGCATCATTTTTTCCTATAATGCAAAACCCTCAGCCGCCCCGCGCTGGCCTTCATCTGCACTGCCTGCCAAAGGAAATGTTTCTTTTGTGCTGCATACCTAGTCATTTATTTGCTAAATAAGGCCTCCTTCTGGCCATTGTGAAAACGCTCTGCTGTTTCTCAGGATATGCGAGGCCTGCCGCTCTCAGATTCCTTTGCCTTGTATGGCTAAAGGCTCCAGACGCCCCCGGCTGCGGGACGCTGACCTTATTGGCCGGCTCAGGAACAGGGAGGTGTGGAGAAACGCCTGAAAAACCAAACAAACTTCCCTTCAGCCCAGCGGAGGAACAGACCCAACGCACACAGACCTTCTCTAACCCCTTTCCACAGGAAAACAAGGTACAGTTACTTTAAGAATGGCTAATCATTGTTGGCTTTGTTAATGGATATAATACAGTTTCAGTTTTAACTTCTGAACAGGTTGATTTTGTAAATGTCCCAGGGCAGAGTAAATGATAGTTTCAAAACAGTTTATTTATTTGATATTTTACATTTGAAAATATGTAAAGTCTAATTCAACATCTGTACATAACAATTAAATAAATTATAATAAATATATATATTTTTTTGTTGCTTTTACTACCTTAATTTAATTGGACGTGGTGTGACATGAATTATTTTCAGTATAAATATTCCATGTAGTCTTTATAATTCTGTACTTTTAGAAGAATTACAAAAAATGGCATTGCTCCAAAAATAAATATTTTTGATTAAAAACATTAATTTACATAATACATCTTACAACACAAATTGAAAATATTTTAAAATAAATAAATAACAGATTAAATAACAAAAATAGATTAAAATAAACAAATTGCATTAAAATAAATAAATAAAATCTAGATTAGAATAAATAAATTAGATTAAGGATACAATAAACATTTGATTTAAATAAATAATGCATCTACGAGTACAGTACAGAACTTAATAGAATCTAAATATTTTCCAAATCATATTTAAGTGTCTTTATACACAATGTCCCATTGACATTGTCTTTTTAATTCATGTAGTCTTTTTAATTCTGTACTTTTAGAAGAATTACCAAAAATGGCATTGCTCCATGGTAATGTGCGTTGTCCTCCAGACTGCGATAAGTCGACTCGAATGAATTTAATCTCTTATATCTTCCTTCTGCAGAAACAAACCCTGCGGTCAGAATGTCTGCGGCCAAGCGTGCCAAAGGAAAGACCACAAAGAAGCGGCCGCAGAGGGCCACGTCCAACGTCTTCGCCATGTTCGACCAATCCCAGATCCAGGAGTTCAAAGAGGCCTTCAACATGATCGATCAGAACAGAGACGGATTCATCGATAAAGAGGATCTACACGACATGCTGGCCTCTCTTGGTAATATATATATATATATATATACACTGCCGTTCAAGAGTTTGGGATCAGTAAGACTTGTAATGTTATGCTCATCAAGGCTGCATTTATTTGATCAAAAATACAGAAAAAAAACAGTAATCTTGCTAAATGTTATTACAATATAAAATAATGGTTTCTATTTTAATATCCTTTAAAATATAATTTATTTCTGTGATGCAAAGCTGTATTTCCATCAGCCATTACTCCAGTCTTCAGTGTCACATGATCTTCAGAAATCATTCTAATATGCTGATTTATTATTAGAATTATCAACAGTTGTGCTGCCAAATAT